AAAATTTCCCTTCAATTACAATCAACGTTAGCATTTTAAGGTTTACGGTGCATTCTCGGATATATAGAATGTCTATAATACCTCCCATAAATCCTAAAAGAAGCAATAGTTTAGAGGGTTATTTCAACGGTGGAAGTGTGGAACTAACAGCTTGTGTGGTATGCAGGAAGGAACATAGTGGGAGTGGATTTTTGGATTTTTTATGTTTTATGGGAAACGAATAAGAGATGGTGTTAAATTCCATTGTATGGTAGGCAGGGATGATAGTGCTGGGATTATTTATTAGGTTGTTAAGTAGACTTCGGAACAGAGAGAAAATGAGGAATGATAATAAGATGATAATTATAAAATTTCATCTCAAAATGAATTTCCAGAAAGGAAATTAGACATTTACCAAACATGGGAGAAATTTCTCTTTGGGGTTAGTGACAAAAGGGAATACTTTCTGCATTGTATCAAACATGGCATGCAAGTGTCGTATCCCATCAAATAGTCAAAATATGAGCTAGTTTGGTAATATTTATTTGGCTTGATTTACTAAATTTTCTGAAAGATAATATATATAGTAAAATTCATCTACCCAAGGAAGTCAAAAGGTACTTGTTCTGTTCAAAAGGATTATCCTGCTAATGACCAATACGGTTACCAAACGGGTTCTACATTAACTAGTGTGCATTACTCACAGTTCCTGAAACTTTAGGTATTTCTCCAAGTATAGCATAGAGAAGTGATGATTTTCCTGCCCCAACAGCTCCACAGATTGCAATTTTCTGACCCCTTCTCACTTCAACATTTATGTTTGTAAGCAAATGCTCTGATTCCCAACTGAAACAGCCATTCACCACACTTACACTGCTCTCTGAACATCCAACCGGAGAATATCCCAGAACATCCACTCTTTTAATCTCATCTTCTAACAGGAAAGAATGTATCCTATCAAGGGAGACTTTAGCTTGAATTATGACAGAAAGAGCTTCCGGCAAGTACCTAACGGGCTCGGACATGACCCTTAACACTGCTAAGATGGTGAACACTGTGGCAGCATCAAAAGCAGCACTCTTGAGTAAGATACACCCTAAGAATATAACGGAGGATATGATTGTGGGAGATGTCCAGTATACTAAAGTACTTAATGTCTTGCAATATTGAGCTTTAGACAGCCATTTGAATTCGACATCTCTATAGGATTCGACCATGGTCTTGAATTTTTCTTCCCAAGATTGTAGCTTGATGATCTTCATGCTGTTTAGGATCTCAGACATGCACCTTAGTCTCTTGTCTTGGGCAATCATGAATTCAGACTGACACTTCTGGATTATCTTCGCATATGGGACATTAAGAAGTCCGCAAATTGTTAGAGGGACTAAACCGAGAAGGGAACCAAGACCAACCACCCAAAAGAGAATTCCGACCGAAAGGAAGATTTGGATAACCGAAATCCATCCTACGTGGAACCACATTACAGATTCCCCCATCCGATATGCATCAATGGCGATGTAATTTACAACCTCCCCCGTTGAGTGTCTTTGTCTGCCTTTGTTTGAAAGCTTGAGTTGTTTCTGATACACTGCTGCCATTAAAGCTGATCTTATTCTCATACCAACTCTCTTGGAGTAGAAATAGAATTGCCGGCCGGACAGAGAGTCAAGAACCTTGTCAAGAATCAAAAGCCCAACTAAAAGAATAGCTTTTGAAAAATCTTTGATTTCAAGATTTGAATAGGCCACAAATGCATAAAGCAGGAGTGGAGAAACTACAACTGCAGATGACCTAAGAAGTCCATATACACCCCCAAGAACCATTTCTTTTCTGTATATGCTTGCTATAGCTTTAGGAAGACTCAAGTTTCTATTTTCCAACTCATGAGACAGTTTCTGGAAATTTAGCTTTGCTTCATCTTCTGAATTTAGACAAGGGATGTCTTCCAGAAATAATGTTTTTGACTTACCTAACCGGAGCAAAGGGTTCATCCAAGAAAAAGACAGTTTGCTAAAGAAACTAATATCATGGCTCCTACCATCAGATTGTTCAAAAGCTAACAGAGGTTCAGATGAAGCCTTGATAGAAACAGGCTGAGAAGGGTTTAGAAGGTGGAAGTTTGTCAAAGCAGAAAGGAGAAGCAAGAAGGTTATTGTCCAAGTGATGACATCGATAATTTTGATGGTGTGGGTTGTGACTAGAACTTCAATGTTCAGAGAAGAAATCATCAGAAATGAAACCACCCACCAACTGGATATGAACACTTTGATTGCTTTGGATCCTTGAACAAGCAAGGAGAAGGTAAAGGCAATCCAAATGACTCCTTTTATGAAGTACGCCAACCAGTTAAGAGAACCAAAGGTTGAATCTTTGGTGATGAGTTCGCGAAGAGTAGCACAGAGATACCATATGCTTGTAAGGGCACAACATAGGGATACCACAAAGATGAAAGAAGACCTTCTGGATCCTCTGATTATGTCAACCCCCCTCATTGTAGGACATCCAAGGAAGAACAGAGAGTACAGAAAGGCCAAGAATAGAGTTGATGCATCAACCAAAGCTGCGTGGATGCACACTGAACTCCAATCAAGTTCTCCTCCACAGATCCCAGAAAATGCCCCTGCAATACCAGTAAGCAGATTTTCCATTTTCCAATTAGTTAATGAACCAGCATGATTGATTAGTGGTCTAATGGTTCTGCAACTCATAAAATTTACAGTTTTATCAAATTATTGTGATAGCTTAAGTTTTAATGTGACAGTCACAAATCAACATTATGTAGCTTCAAAAAAATGATAATTTTTAAGAAGTTAGAACTCACCAAGAAAAGAATGTGGGGAAGAAGCCATTGTTCTCTGCTCTATTCAGATGGTTGGGTTGAGAGTTCAAGTGAGAGTGTGCCTTCTTTTGTTCAAGTGAGAGTGTGCCTTCTTTTGTTCAAGTGGGGTATATGAAGTCCACACCCTATTGGTCATATACTCATGTACCCAATGTCCTCTTCATCTCTCCCTAAATAGCTGGTGTTATTGTCAGTTTCCCAAGAATATCATTGTAAAAAAACACTTTGTTCTGATTTTTTTAAACATATACTCCGTAAAAATCATTTGATACATAGGGTAACTGCATGATACTCCATATCATATATCTCAACTTCCAAGAAAAAAGTATTTTAGTGAATTTTTGAGAAATATATATAATCATGCCTATAATACATGTATGATGGGTGCATTATTTGCCATGGACAAAAAACATCACTATTTTTTTGTTTGAAAATATGATGGAATAAAGCAAAATGGCTCGGTAAACAATCTTCTTTGTTATGAAGCAACAGTTAGTCCATGTAATTTTTGACGTGATTTTCACTATGGATCATCCGAAAATAGTCTATATGTGTTTTTAGTATAGGAGTAAGACTACGCACATCCGACCCTCGTACCCCACCGGAGGTGGGAAGACTTTGCGGCACTGAGGTAACGATGATGAATTGATGATAATACATACATACGAATATATGATGCGTTAGGGTGAACTATATGTGAATTAAATTAAAAAATTTAGGTATGTACATTTTTCGTAACAAGGGCCGTGACAGTGATTTTTCTCCTTCATCTTCCGACAAATAATAGTCTGGTGCAAGATTCTGGAGCATGTACAAATTTTTGATAGATTCAGAACTTGTACTCGTAATAACTAATGTATTTGCAGTCTATATTGTCCATTTCTAAGTTAGCATCAGACTAACGTGTGTGATTATATCGATTGCGAGTACTAGTTTGGAAGGATTCAAGTGTTTGGTTTTTATTCATTCACACTCCAATCAATCAAAAAAATGATTTTGACCAATGAGGCTACGGCCTGGTTAGGTGATGAGGAGACCTCGTGACTAAGCAACCGGTCATGAATTTGATTTCCAAGACATCTGGAAATTAATTAAATACGTACTCCCTTTGTCCCTAATTTTTCTTCCATATATAGTAGAAATGGGACGAGGATTAAGATCGTGAGTACTGTACAGCAGCGGAGAGTTGCGGTGATGAGAGAAATATGTGGAAATGTGTAATAATTGTGGGGAAAAATTTCATTTTTGGTCCTATGACTATTATGCGACTTCCACATTTCTCCTCTGACTTTCAATTTAACCACATTTAGTTTGTGACCTTTCTCCTTCACCACCCGTCGCCCTTCCGACCACAACTCCAGTACATTTTAACTGGAAAGCCATTTACGGAGAAATTTTAGGTCAAAAAGTTAAAGTTAAGTTATCAAAATGTACGCATTAAGTCAAGTTAATTTAGAAGGTACCCATTTTAACAAAATACATTTACTAAAATGTCCCTAATATTTCTTATGTTTGAACTTTGTTATGTTTGTTATATTTCCGGTCAAAGGTGGTAAACTCCGTATTTCTTTGGACAGATTCAACGGCTCAAACATTGATTAATGTTATCAAAAATTCTATAGGTACCCCAAATTGTACCACAATTTGTACCCACCCCCCTGAATTGCTTGTGTACATCGTTTGAAAGAGGGCAGAACTTTCTACCCAAATGTCTGTGTACACAGCCAGTGTACACTTTGGGGTACAAATTGTGGTACCCCAAGCAGCTCTCTAGTGTTATACCCTTTTTCTCTCTAATTTCTTAACTACGTAGTATGATTTTCCTTATACCGCTAATGATATTTTGAACTAATTTCAAACATTCGAATTTTAAATGTTAGATTCTATTACTACTGCTACTTCTAACATCATAATTTGTAGCAGTATAGCCTCTCGATGGGAATTACATAATTAAAATAATTTTCAATCATTTTTTACGGGGGTTATTAAGTAAGAGAGGGCTGATTTGGTGTGGACCACCTGAATGGCTGAATGGAACCTCTGCCCGGCCAATGCCATTTGGATCCTTTAGTGTTAAATTTTTTTTATCAAACTTGTTCATGAAGTGTAGTTTATGCTCATACATGAAGTTAAGTAAATAAATTATTGATACATACTGCGTTTTATATATACACAAAATGTTGTATGTTTCAATAATTTATTTAACTAACTTTTCGATTGAATTAAAAACTGAAATTTTGTAAAGATAATATGCATTGATAAAAAACATGGTTATACAATTTCATCAAAAAATTCGTATCTTGCTCTATGTTAGAAGAGATTATTTCTCTCAAGTAAGATAGGGAGTATTAAATTATTGATCTCTATCAGCAGGGGGCTAAATTATGGCTATTCGTGGGGCAGTGGTGGACTGGTGAGGGTCGTACTGCATGATTATGAGCTCGGGTTCAACGTAAAATTCTGACAAAGTCCTCTACAATTTTAGTCCGCATATCTTTTAACTTTTACTCCCTCCGTCCCCTTTTAAAAGTCCCGGAAGAGGGTGGCACGAGTTTTAAGAAAAGTGGGTTTGTGTGGTTGATATTAATTGATAAAGTAGGAATAAAGTAAGAATGATTTTGAGCCACACAAACTTTACCAAATGAGGTATGTGACATTTAAATAGGGACATCCCAATATGATAAAATGGGACATTTAATTGGGGACACTAACATTTTTTTTGAAAGTGCATACTTCGTACTTCGTATATCTTTTCTAACATAAAGTGATTTTGTAAAAAATTACGGAGTAAATAAAAAGTGATTTTCGGCTTTTACTTATAAAAGCTGAATAATAATGTATTTTCAAGTGACAACTTTTACTTAAATTGAACATTTTGAAACTAAAAGTTAGATTTAGTTTTTTACTTTTTTTATTACATAAAAAGCATATATTTTAACAAACATTACTAATTTTTACGTTGCAAAATCTTTTTTTTCAAACACTACCAAGTGTTAATCATGGGCGGAGATCGGGGTGGCCAACCTAGGCCTTGGTCCACCTCAAATTTAAAAAATGGGTTAATTTTTAGTGTGAAAAATTCTGTGCAACTTTTTCCCCAAAATATTCTTTGTGTCGACTCAGTCTGGCCCAGTGTCTTGGCTCATCCCTTTCTTTTTAATACTAAGCACTTTTTTCAAGATTACTTTAAAAAGTAATTTTTTTAAAGCATGATCATTTGCAAACCCTTCCTAAGAATGAGCAAATATGTCTAATGTGGAGTATTATTATTGTGTCGATGTTTTGTTTTGTTTAATAATAAGAATGTTTTTAATTTGATTAAAATTTTCTGTTCTAATCTGATATAATTTAACAAACCTGATAGATGTCTGATCCCTCTGTATTTTATAACTGTTCAAATTTAATTTAATGTGTCTTGATCTGATTTCGAACTGAAAACACTCCAAGTACGTAAACATCCTAAGACAAAAATCTCAAAAGTACTTCATTTTTAATGCTAATAAGCTTCCAATTTAAAAGTTACAACTCTCCTAGTATCTTCTAAGAAAATTCTTGGACAAGTTTTTTATAACCCAGTTAGCAAAATGCCAATTAAATTGGTGACTTTGCTAAAGATGTGAAGCACGGAAATCTTTTTTCAGCTTCTCTTCGCTATCGATATTGTCGAGGAGCGGTCGACTCCCTACATAGTTAGGGTTTTTGTTCCGCCGAGCTTCACTCGTGTGACTTTGATTTTTGTGGGCGAAGAAACACAAGGCAACATGATAGAGTTTTCTTGTGCACCCCGGACATGGATTTCAATGGTAAATCTCAAGGAGCAAATTGGCAAGAGCAATTTGGCGAGCCCAAGAAGGATAGTGTTTCAGACAAATTTTCTGGGGTTGAAATTCACTTCTACCATACTATAGCAGCTCGCCTTCCTCCGGAACCACCTCCGTGCGAGAAAGCAATTTGTAGAAAGTTTTTATTTTCATATTATTTTTTCTTGCATAGTACTTTACTTTATTTCAGTTTGATCATGTATGGTTGGAGTATTTTGATTTTTGAAGAACTTTTGATAGGCAGTTCTTCATTTTCGGTCATTTTAGGTTATTTCTTGCCTGTTTTTTGTTTAGAGAGTCATGTTGTTTTGTATTGATGACTGACTCTAAGTTTATTCCTAAAACTTACGATCAGATCTGTAATTGTTGTCTGGATTTTATAAATATGCTTGATGTATATTAATGGAAAGCTGTTTTGGTGATTAAAAAAAAGATGTGAAGCATGGTGCATAGGGAGGAGCACGTCATGGGAGTCGTGCAAAATAAAACCACTGTTGAGGCAAATTGTTACGAGTATGTACTACTCCGTAGTATCGGTATAACCACCCACGTATAACACTTTAAAAAACAGACTTTTTTATAGTGCTAAATTATTTTTAATTTTTATATATGCAATATTAATGTTATAAGAAAGATAATAAAAAACTATAAATCTTGATATATTTTTATAGCAATCAGAGTATAAATAAAAAATAACACTTTTTAAAAACGCTCATCATCCACAGCATGCACCTAAGTCGTGAATTCGTGGGTTTGTTAACCAGAGTTTGCCCTGCAGTATTTTGGGAATACTTAACTCAACATCGATTTCATAAATGTGTTTTTTAACATTTTTTTGAAAAACAAAACTCGTATTGTTTATGAAAACTAGTACAGATGATGAGATGAAGTTATGATGATGTATGAATACATTATAAGTGGTCTCAAAGTCTCACCAATTCTTACTTTCTTCCTAATTTAGGGTCTGTTTGCAACAACTTCTGCTTTTTAAAAAGTGCTTTTTTTAATGAAATGGAGAGAAGTGATTAAATTAAGTTGATAGTGTTTGAGAAAAAAATGATTTTGAAAAGTAAAAGTGGGTAGTGTTTGGTAAAATTAGTGCTTTTTGTGTAATAGAAAAAGTAAAAACACTTTTGACGCGGAAACCGAGAAAAATAAAAGTTGTAGTGTTTGGGAAAATAAGTGCTTTTTTAAAGCCAAAAGCTGAGAAGTGTTTTTTTAAAAACAGTTGCAAACCAACCCTTAATATGGAGGAGTTGAAACATGTTGAGTTTTACATGTATTATTTACGGATCAGGATCCTATGCCATAGGGCAGAGTGCCTTGCGGCATCCGACGGCAGGGTATAGATGAGGAGGACCACGAGATTGGTGAAGGAGTGGAGCCCAAGATCTTCAGTCGTCCAATTTCCGATCGAACGGCCCGGAAGAGCTAGCCAGGCACCTAGGCCTGTCAATGGGTCGGGTCTAGACCCGGACCCGACCCGGACCCGGTTGTTTTTAACGGGTATGGGTCCTTATTTTATTCCGTTTACCCGGACCCGAACCCGGACCCGTTAGTACTTTTAATAAACGGGTCAGGTATGGTACTTATGATTCCGACCCGTTAAGGACCCGGACCCGTTTAAAATTTCTTATTAGTATTTATACACACACACTAATACATAAAGAGATTAGTTATAATACTTCAAATAAAAATACAAACTAATATATATAAAGTGATTAGTTTTAATTCTTTGATTAAAAAGAAACAAATTAATACATACCTAATGTATAAGTGATAATATAATAGTACGTAGTATATAATATGCTTTTAGTCCAAAAGAACTTTTTGTGACCTAATTTCTAGTCTAATATACGAGCTTTCTGTGGGAGAGAAAGAGACACAAAGTGCGGAATTGTACGCATCTACAAGAACTGATATTTTATTCAATAAAAGTACTAATTTTCTATGATAAACCTTGATTTTTTGAAAAGTGAAGATATATTTTTCTTTTAAATTTGTGCACTTTGATTTACATTTCATATACATGTTTTACTATTTTTAAAAAATTATATAATGTTCTGTCAAAAAAAAGTTATATAATGTTGAGCATATAATACTTGGCGGGTCTACCCGACCCGGTTCCGAGACCCGTTGGGTCCGGGTCCGGGTCCAAATTTTTAGACCCGCCGGGTAAACGGGTCGGGTTCGGGTCCTTTATTTACTTAGCGGGTCCGGGTCTGGAACACTACGTTCCGACCCAGACCCGACCCATTGACAGGTCTACAGGCACCCTGCCTTGCTTAATTGCTTTAAAGCAAGGCAGAGTAGGAGTGGACTTGAGTCGGGCCGCCCGGCCCGGAACCGGCCTTATCCCGGTGCGGGCTCGGGCCCCCTAAATGGCGGACCGGTCCGGCCCCGGTTCGGGCCAAATTATTATTATTATTATTTTTTTCAATTTTTTTTTTACTTTCTACCGGGTTGGGTTGGGTATTTGGGGGGTATTTAGAAAATCAAAAGAAGTTTTAAAAAAAATTGAACCGGAAACTGGCCCGGCCCGGAACCGCGGGCTACCCGGGCCGGTTCCGGTTCCCTACTTCCCAAACAAAAGGCCGGTCGGGCCCAGACCCGAACCGGAACCGGCCCGGAACCGGCCCGGCCCGGGTCCACCCGAACCAGAACCGGCTGAGGCTCTGGATCCATTAATTACATCTCTACTTCGATTGCACTTTATTTATTAATATACTAATTATTAATTAATTGATCTATATAAAATATTATGGTATTTGTTTGAGACTCAAATTTCCAAATATGTCTTTTTTATAATTTTAATAATAGTCAATTAAATATACTAATGGTGAAAGTCTTATGTTGGCAAATACTCTATCAAATTAAAAGAGCTGCAACTTCATAGCTCAGGATCTATTCTTTATCATCATAATGGAAGCTTAGAATGTTGCTTACATCCTTGTAGATGCTTAGAATATTTTAAGTTATGTACAATATTTAACATCATAAGTTTACATTTGTGAATGGAAGTATAATCAAAGTGCTGATATAACTTTTTATTTAAAATTCTTTTTTACAAATTTTATATAAAGTTTTTGGTATATACGTAGTATACATTATTAACACCCCTTCAAAATTGGGATATTTAAATTACTTTTCCTTTAATTTTCAAAATATATTATTTATCATATGGTCGACTATTTGTGAAATTTGCATTATAATTTGTAATGCTACTAATATCATAATTCAGTTCAAAACCTGATTTAATTACTTAAATCTCTGCACATGCACCTGATCTCTGCATATGCACCTGGGTCACTGGGTGGAGGTAGTGTTGTGCACTTTGGGCGTTATAGTATAAACTTTTAAAATTCGGTTTCTTTAATTTTAATTTAAGGATCAAGTAAGTCCTTCCATTATTAATTTTAATTTAAGGATCACTTAAGCACATGTACAGATGTACTAAAAGAGTATTCCCTCCGTAACTTGAAAATCTTTCCACTTTCCTTTTTTGTCCGTAACAAAAAAAATCTTCTCATTTCTAAATCTTCTCATCATACCCTCAATAATTTTTAAAATAATACGTAGTACACTATTACAACTACTTTTTTTGGATTTATCCTACATTCCACCACATTATTCCACTATTTTCCCATCATGCCCTCAATAAGTCATATCATCTTTCACTATTCTTAATCTACATACTTTAAAGTTACGGAGGGAGTATCATATAATTATATTTACTTTAAAAATACAATCAATCAAACCATTTGACCTACTATCGCAGGTTATTCTTTTTAAATTAAATTAGGAATATTGATAAATCTTACAAAAATTCATATAAATTTGAATAAATAATCTAATAATGATACGAGTATAAAACATTGTATAAATGTAAAAATAGATAAATTTTAAATACATTAAAAAATCATAAGATTGAAAAGATAAATTAAAAATAAAATATAAAAATTTTAAAAACCTTTTAAATAGATGTAGAGTACACAAATATTTTTAGAAATTAAAAAATATTGACTTTGATAATCTGAAAATTTTTACAATTTTTGTATATATTTGTTTAAATTTTAACAATTTTTTAGAGTTTTGAAATATTAAAATCTACTATTACAAGTCAAAAACCGATTAAATGGTCAAATTGATCAATTTTATAAAGTAAATGCACTTATATGATACTTTTATTAGTACATGAGCTTAAGTGACGAGTTGAAAATAGTATAAGGTTTAACGGATAACGTTTGAAGGTCATTCACAAAAAAGAATCACTATTTTTCGTAAACACTACTGGATAATTGACTTCGCCAGATTAATCATTGGCTCCAAAGAACACACCTTTCACATTCGAGAGAGTAATTACGAGTTGTATACTTGTATGACCTTATTTTGAGAGTCTCAGTGTTGTCTATAACATTCACAGTCTCACAGACAAGAAGTCTCCCTCAACTCATGACAAACCAGTTAAATTGTGCATTATTATCAAGATTAAAAAGTTGCATAAGTGAAATAAGCCTGATAAGACTACCTAGACATAAACTAATTGTACTGATATTGAAACCATCATTGTATAGAGTGAACTGGCTAGGCAAGTAGTTCCATCTTCCAGCTGTGATAGAGAAAGGAAAGGCTTGGAGATTCACTGACCCACAAAGTCATGATGTTTAAAGCCTTAAAGTTGCAGCTACTGGCCTTCAAAATATTAGCTTTTCCCCAAAGTGAGTTTCAAGGCTTCCTCATTTTAGATCTAGCATATCTGAACAAAAGAAAAGTAGTAAGAGTTCTCAAGGCAGTTGTAGGGAAGGCTTTGGATGACTCAATCTTTATCTTAGAAAATAAAATGTTTCTGAGAGCAAACAAAATGTAATGAAATGTTATATGATTGCAATAATATTTCAATTTTTATGAACTCTCAAATAAATATCAAGATATAGATTATCCCCTCCAATACCCTTCATCCAAACAAACCCTCCGTAACAGAGGAAATAAACAATATTATTAAAACCAATTGTCTTTGCTAACAGTATTCATATAAGTTGAGGAAAATATACTCTATATGCATGCCACCCCGGTCTGATGATGGCAATGTGGTTCCTTGAAGTGCGTTCATGACATCTGTTGCTTTGTCAACACCCTATCAAAATAAATAAAATGCATAGTTATACAGATAAATTATTTTAGCAACACTTCTGATATCTCATTTGCTCTCAGCTTATCAATTATTTTTTCACCAAACACCAACTTATTCCATTATGATGGCTGAATTTGCCAATAATGGAAAATACAAGTGCAGAAGTTACTTTTTAGGATAAAGTGGAAGAAAATGACACCTACACCCTTACTTTTAGATAATGTTTTATCTTATCTATTTAAATTATATTTTTAAATACTTTCTTTTAGATGATTTGGCAAAATTCAACTAATTCAGAAGAAATTTCACCTACTTCTGCAGATTCAGCCATTTTAAGCCTTACCAAACAGGCACTTAGTAGCATGCAGTACCTCAAAATCTGCAAAAGCAACCGGCATTCCACCTCTAGCACGAACCTTCAGGGTGTTGAAACCAGGGTACCTAATCTCAAAAATAACAAAGATGTGTTTTTATTGCTGTAAGGTTACTATAAGCAGAAGTGGGTGACCAAAAAACAAAAATGAGATGTCAAAGAGAATTATTATAAGCTATGCCCTAAACTTATAATGACAGAGACAAAAATATCATATTCTTGTGGATTTTTAAAAGAACTTACTGAGACAGAATTTGCTTCAGTTCATCTTCTGTGCAGTCAGGACCAAGATTGGCAATAAATAAAGTGGAACATGGTTGTGTACCATCTCCTGTCTTTTCTGCCTGTTCCTACAACATTACACACACAGTTTTTAGAAGGATTATGTTTCTAATAAGGGAAGCTAATCACAGAACATACATTTTGTGCAGCTAAAACATTGTCACCGTTGCCCACTTTCTCGCCACTGAGAAAAAAACCAGACAATACTGTTAGTGTTCAAATTTCAATAAGAAGGATTACAAGACTCATATGAACATATTACTCTTCTGTCCAGGAAAAAGAGTCATGTTTGAGTAAGTTACAATTTTTTGGTCAACTCAGTCAAGGTTAAAGCTTTTCGAAGTTATGAACAGACACCTATATCCCTACATATTTTCATGTCCCCAAGTTGTCTGGTATAGAATACAGGTTGAGACTTTGAGCACATCTTTATAAAACTTATTTTCAAGATTGTTTGAAGTAACTGACAAAAAAACCACTTGCTGTTTGGCTTTACATGAATTTTACTTAAAAAGTAAAGTTGACTATTAAAACTGAACCGGTTTATTGGGACACATAAAGTTCTTGAAACAGGAATTTTCTCAGGCAGAGAAAGTATCTGTTAGTATCCTAAATTCTTTCTAGTTTTTTATTGTACTTGTCCTATGAGTGATAGTCTGCATTTTTTCAATCAGTGAAGAATTTGACTCGGGTGTGCTTTTCTTGTTTCTTTTGAACTTGTTTTTTTTTTAGAATTTGATTTTTACTTTGACAAAGTTGTCAAGTTCCCTCAAAAAGGCTCAGAAAAATGTTTTTCATGGATGCCCAAAGGGGTGTTCTGTTTCCCTTCCCCAAACTATTAAAAAAAAGTCATCACGAGAGGTTAGCGATTTAGATTGGTGCCAAGGTTTAACTGTTTGAGACAGAAAGGAAATAAACATTTGGTATTACAAGAGAGCAGTTGTTGTGTTCATTAAGTGCATCCAACCTCTTTTCGGGTGAATCATCCTTGTTGTGAGAATCAGGATCATTAGGCCTTGATGGGTCATCAGAATCACTATCATTTGGGTCTGCAGATTGTGTTCCGGTGTTTTATCAGTTTTACATCCAAACTAAGGAAAAAGGAAATGGAAATAATAATTGTAACTTCATTGGAACAAATCACTTTGCCACCCTTAATTATAAAATCTTCTTTTGCATTCACAATTCACACTGGAAAAAATAATTTTAATTTTTAAAAGCAGCTAAAGATCTTACCTTCATCGCTTGAGGTGCCTTTCCGAAATTTGTTAGATTTAGATCTGTTGTCAATAACAACATAGGGCCCGCTCCCTGTGAAAGGCAGCAACATGCAGTTTCATTACACATACACTCAGCAGAGAAATTTCAATTCTTGCACCTTGTTCTCATTTCTCAGTGACACCAATGAACAATAATTTATCATATACTCACTTGGTCTTTTTGTCCTCCTGGAATTTGATCTGGCAAGTTCAATATGCAAAGTGGATCCTGTTTGAGGATCGAACTTCACACCCTGCAAATATAGACCACAAGACATGGACACATACATGTAGAAATAAATACGCCAGTACTTGCAATCTCAACAAACATGAAATATTACAATTGCACTCGTACAAGACACAAATCAAACCAGAGAGGTGCCAAGAGTATGAACTCTCGTAAGGTTTCATACCCCCCCCCATACTTTTTAAAATTGGATTCTGTTTAGTGTATTTTTTGGACCAAATACCCTTAATAAAATCAATTTGGAATAGCCTATCCTCTTCCATTGTCTTCTTTAACTCCTCTCTATCCTAATTTTTTCTCTCACTCACTAATATGAGTTTTTAATAAAGTCTTCCTCAGGTGAATGCCTGAACCTCGTGTTCATTTCGGCATTTTTGTCAGAATAGCATCAATATACTATTTTAAACATAGCAGGATCAATGTCAAGACTCTTGGATTAATCAATCCTTTGTTCCTCGCAACAAAAATTACAATCACTGTTTTCCCACACCCTCTGAGTGAAAAGGCTTCAACACCTTAGACAGGTTGAGTTCCTACCATGGGTGGTGTACAGAAATCAAACTAGTAAATCAGTTTAATTAAAGTGAAAAGTCCTTCCTGGCCATATTCACTAGACAAGCCACCTTTTCCACACATGGAAAAATGTACAAGAAATAAAAGAAAGTGGTAGACCAAGCTTGGCAAACTCACGTTTAATGAGTGCAATACCCCCATTGCTGATTGATGATCGACAAAGTTGGCAAATGCAACAACCTGTAAATTGCACACATGATTATTACTGGTTCATGCAACCGATATCCTCCCCATCCCCCCAAAAAAACAGAGTTACAGAAACACACAGGGAGATGAGAGAGCTGTCTACATGTAAAAAGAAATCGATTTAAGGAATAAAAACTCTTCTGTTTTTTATTTATTGAAAGAACCGGAATATGCCAGTTCTAAGCCTCTAATGGCAAGGATCCAAACGCTTTTCAAAAACTAAATAGTGTGGGTGCATAATTCACCACATTGCTCCCACAGAGTTCAGAACCAACCATTCCCTAAATTTTGAATTTTTCTTGAGAGCGCTAAATTTTGAATATACCCAGCTGCTGCTCCTACATTATAGTATGCTCTGTCAACTTCACCACGCCCATAATCAATAGAGTTCTCACTGAACAGCTATTCTAGCAAAGTTTGTACTTTAGATGAATCGGAGGTCTTTCAGTACATAATTGTCACAGCATTCATTTACGACATTTTCATTTCTTGCATGAGTATCCAACTGTACTGGTTAACTACTAAATCTATCCACTATCTTTGGGACACTGAGTCACCTGTGTGGCTGTATGGTTGATAAATAATTTGTAAAGCATGAATAAGTTTGAACCATACATATATTATCAAATATAGTACGAAGTATGTCGCAAACTAAGTAAGACAGATAAAAAAGGGAAGTAAAAAGTGAAACAAATATAGTGGGATGGAGGTAGAATTTTACAAGGTTCTTTTTAAAATCCGGTTAAAGAACCTTGTTTCAACATTTACCACTAGACTACACTAATAGACGTTTTCAGAGAAATGCCAAAAGAATGTCCATTTTATACTTAAGTACTGCAATTTACAAGCTCGTGCAATGGTAATATAGAAGAAAATAACCACACAATATGCTTAGTTATACCAGCAGACTGCAGATAAGATAGCTTATTAGGTAAACGGAAAGAGAAGACCAAACCTGATCTCCGCGGCCGGTGTACTTAAGCTGACAAGACTCGAAGCCGGGACGGCGCCTAAAAAGGTTATGAATTTCACGAGCTTTGACGTCGTCTGGGAGGCCCGATACGAAGACCGTTCGAATCAGATCGCGTTCAGCTCTGCTGCTAGTGTTGTACGGAACGGGCAGTGGTTGAGAGAGGTAGTAGGCGTCGTAGGGCTGGTGGGTAGTCATCTTTTCAGAGGGCGGTTGAAAACTATTCCTCGCCGATAGCCGTCGGCCGTTGGTGGCGGTGGCGGACAATCAGAGACGATTTATCTCTCAGGAGCGATGAAGATATCAGTATATCAGACCCGGAGTATGTTAGTTAATACGCGTATAATACACGTATGATAAGCTTAGACGTGTAAAACACCCGTTTAAGTATTTCTCCCAAAAATTCGTTATAATACGCGTATTTTAAAGGTAAAGCGTATAATACTCGTATAAATCCTTATTTCGATTAAAAAAAGTCCAACTAAAGAGTAGAGTAAAGCCTAAACGTACATACCGACGACTTGATACCGTTGCCACAAAGCCTAAGGCCCCAAAAAATACTCTGTATTAATAATGGGGATAAGTGTCAAATAGTTCCTCGAACTTTCATAAAAAGGTCAATTAAGTCCTTCTATAGGAGGTTCTGTCCGGCCGTCGCGATTTGGGGCAGTTCCCGGTGGAATTTTTTGATGAATTTTTTTGAGTATCTTATTCACCAAGTCTAGTTTACTCATACCAAATTTCAGCTAAAAATTCAATCGGGAACACATTGAAATTAATTCTTGAAAATAACTGCGCATTTTTGCGTTCTCAAATTAATTTGAATGCGCTCCTGATTAAATTTTTAACTGAAATTTGGTATGAGTAAACTAGACTTGATGAATAAGATGCTAAAAAAATTTCATCAAAAAATTCCACCGGGAACCGCCCCAAATCGCGACGACCGGACAAAGTCTCCTATAGAAGGACTTAATTGACTTTTTTATGAAAGTTCGAGGACCTATTTGACAGTTTTCCCTTAATAATGTGGACTATAATACATGTGTGCAATCGTGCTTAAGGTATACGGAACCAAAGCAGAGACCTAGCACTAGGTGTGGGCACGATCCGGAATGATCTGGTAAATTAGTAAAACCCGTAATGCATCTTGTTTCTAACGGTCCGGTCCGGTACGGTCCGGTTCTACGGATGGAACCATTCGGTACCATGTCGATTCGGAACGGTATAAAACCGGTACAGTACAATGCCAAACATATGCTAAAAAAATTGGACAAATCTTGCAATTAGTAGATATCATCACACCAACCAATTCACATGAAATGTTACAAGTAATTGTATACATAGTACTAAAATTCACAAATACACAAATAATGCAACAAGACTAAAAAAAGTATAGCAAAATGATGATACACGAGATAAATATCATCTTTAATTTACTAAGTTCACGTGAAAATATAAACAGAATATCATCACATTATTGAATATAATAGAAAAAATCAATGTTCTTCATTGTTCTAGGTTAAATATTAGTTCTGATTAAAGTAATAGTTGAACCGGGATAACTAAGATTTAAACCATATTAATTAAGTTGTAAAATTGCACAAACGTGATACAACAAAAAGTCATACACACTACATTACTAAAAAGGAATAGTCATTAATTAATGATTTCTAAAACTTTATCATTCTTTCAATACATATACCAAAATATAATATATATTATCTAAAAACAAAAAATAACAATATATATATATACACGTACACATTTTTCTATTTTAGGGACACATGAATACATACTTGGCCTATATTGTTGGTCTATAAAAGAGATTTATTGGTATAGAAAAAATATAAAATTTGAAATGTATTTTTCTTGAACGGTCCGGTCCGGTATTTTTCGGTTCTCAAAATCTAGGACCGGTCCCTTACCCATTTCAGACGGTACGGTTTCGGTTCGGGATAAAAATCTATAGAACCGTTTTAATACCCTGTATTCGGTTCGTTACTATTATGGGTCGGTTCGGTACCAGTTCGGTACCGGTTCGGTTCGGGTTTTATGCCCACCCCTACCTAGCACAATAGCAGCCTAGCATGCGGCGGCAATAGTGGCGGAACTACCGTGAGGCTTGGGGGTCCGTGTGCCCCTGCGGATGTTAGTTTTTAGTATATTTATTATATAAATTTATTATGTATCTCTGTACTTCGTAAATACCCCGCCCCTGCAGCCTAGACCACTGAGCCCACCCTTCTGTCCTATTGTTTGGTTTGATTAATACGGGAAAAAATTCCACTTTTGGTCCTCCGAGTTATGCACCAATTCCACATTTAGTCCTCATCTTTCATTTTATCCATTTTTGGTACCTGACTATTGTTTTCTTGACCATTTATAATCCTTTTCCGTTAGTAAAAATGTCCAGAGATGGACAGAAAATGGTCAGAAAAACAATAGCTAGGTACCAAAAGTGGATAAAGTGAAAGATGAGGACTAAATGTGAAATTGGTGCAAACCTCGGAGGACCAAAAATGGAATTTCAATACGGAGTACTTTGTATTTTACACATTGGTTTAATTGTATATGATGAATTTCAAAATGCTATTTAGTGCAATGAGAATTTGAGGAGTATGTTATTGTGCGTTTGTGCGTATCAGGATGTAAATAAACCAGTTCAGGATTTTGGTGCTTTTTATGATGTTATGAATTCTTTTAACAAAATTCATAAATATAAGTGTAAAAACGTTTGTGTTTTCAAAATAAGACACTCCTTAAAAATTTTTGTTTTTTTAAAATGAGAGTATTTATTATCATGTTTTGGCAGTTCTAGACTTCAAACATAGTACGGAGTAGTATTTATCAAACTTAATAGTAATTACTACTCCGTATTAGTTAGGAAATAAAAATATGATTGTCCTATTTTGGAACTCTCAAACCTTTTTACTTCTATTTCAGAAATTTTCCTTCTTTTATTCACAAACTCATTTCAAACATTGGGTGTTACTCTTGAGTAATTTATTCTCTTTGTTAAAACTAGTGCTGGACTCGGGCCGGGCGGCCCGGCCCGGAACCGGCCCGGCCCGGTTACTGTTTGGCCCGGCCCGGTCCGGGGCCCGGTGGGTCCCTCGGTTCGGTTCGGCCCGGCCCGGCTGCTGGGCGGTTCGGGCCCGGGCCCAGGTTTTGGTGAACCGGCCCGGCCGGTTCGGGCCCGGTCCGGGCCGGATTTTAATTTTTTTTTTTTTTGAATTTTTTTTAAGTTTTAGGTTGGATTAGGTAATTTGGGCCATTTGAGGTGGTTTGGGATGGTTTGGGGTTGAGGGGGAGGGGTAGGGGATTAAATAGGAGAACAAAAAAAAAAAAAAAAATTGGGCCGGTTCGGCCCGGCCCGGTTTGGCCCGGAACCGGCCACCGGCGGTTCGGGCTCGGGCCTCCCTTTCCTGGCCCGAGGCCCGGCCGGGCCCAGGCCCGAACCGGGCCCGAACCGGCCCGAGTCCAGGCATAGTTAAAACGCCTCGTTCAGTTGAGGCATCAATTGCTAATCAAAGTTAATATATTTTTTAATTAGTTGTTTTATTAAAATTTTATTGTTTTGTTTATTACTACGTACTATATTGATGAGAACATAATTCTCCATCCATCCCGAAATAATTGTCTTGTTTGTTTTTGCAAAAGTTTTAAGAAAGTAGTTGAAAAGGTAAAAAATTGTGATTGCGATTTGAGTAGAAAAAAGGTGAATTGATATGAGCTACATATTATTAGCAAAAGAAGAAACAAGACATTTTTTTGGGGACATCCCAAAAAGGAAAGAAGACAATTATTTCGGAATGGAGAGAGTAGTATCGAGCTGGCAAATGCGAAAAGTGGGTTGTTCCATTTATTTAATAATGGAGGAAAAGTGGATTAGTCTCTTATCAAGCTAAAATGTATTCTTTAATACTATGTACTACATACTGGGTGTGTTTGGCAATCGGTGGTTAGCGGTTAGCGGATTATGTTAGTGGGTTGTTAACAACAGATTCTGTCAGCGGATTTGACTACGGATTCATTTGGCAGAATCCAGAAAAACGTTTGGTAGATCAACTGTTTGGTCCTAGCGGTTATTTGGTAAAAAGACATATGAAGACATGTATTAATAAATTTTAATACTCATTTTTTAATAATGATATATTAATGTATTACTGCGTAATTGATAAGTTTATATTATTGATTAAAATATGACTAAATAAAAAATACAATAATACAAAAATATACTTGTATATCTAATTGATGAATAGCACATTTTGGGTCCAAAAGAAAACTACATAGTAATTTATTAACATCTTTCCATCATTAATTTCCGGTGAACTCTTATCCTTTAGGCCTTATTTTTATTCTTAACCGACTTTAATTTCATATGAGTTCTAGAACTCAAGCAACAATTAGCATATACATGATTTCTAGCCGTAGCTTAATAGCATGTAATTTCTCACACAAAGCAGTTAAACTCATCAAATGCACGTCCAGAACAATAGCATGATTTTTAGAACACTCAAAGAAGATCTGGACTTACGGCGACCCAGTCACCCAGAGAAGAAGTAAGAGGGAAGACCTTAAACACCTACAGCGGAAATTGAACGGAAAAGAAGATCGGAGGACAAATTTGGCAATCAAATAATTATCTGAAATCGCCAAGTATAAACGCTACTAGTTGCAGCGTATTAGTATTTGGCGGATACATCCAAAACGCCATGCCAAACCTCCATTTACCAAACACACACAAAAACAGCGTTTTCCATCTTTGAAACAGCCAAAGTGGTCAAACCCTCTAATTTCTGGCGGAATCGCCGATTACCAAACACAGCCACTATCGTATATGATATATCCATTGAATCCATTCCTTTATTCATTCTACGTAATATTTAAATTGCCACTTGTTATCTACGGAGTATTAATTTACTCATCTCCATATGAAGTTTTCAACTTTCATAGTTTTATTAATGTTTTTATTGATGTTGTTTTTTAAAATCTTATGTATAATTCTTCTTTTCCATACGCCTCATGATTTTATGCAGTTAGGTTTTATCAACGAAAATCCTCTTTCATTTATTTTATGTTCGATTCCAACATTTCTTATTACGAAGTAAATTAAACTTGATTATGTGATTCAATAGAATATTTATTAAAGTTTTGAAATACCTAATTTGAAATACTGATAATAATTGAAATATTGTGAGCATTGTTCTAAAAATTGACCTAATCAGTTTGATTAATTAGCACTAATTGTGGAGGACTAACCGACCTAATCGGCCAAAAAATCGACCTAATCGGTTTGATTAATTAGCACTAATTGTGGAGGACTAACCGACCTAATCGG